TAAAAAATGTTGTTAGTCAATGGACTTCTTGAGTTAACTGATGATAGTTCATGAAATCAATCCCATTTAGCCGGACGCAACACAGAATCTGCTCCGGCAGCTCTTCCGGTTTGTTCCCCTGTTCATACATACAAAGCTTCAACATAAGCGATAAAATCCCATAATGTTTTGATCCGGTGAAGAAATTAAAAAATGCTTGTAACAACCTACCTGAATTGTGAGGCCAACATCAAGAACACATATCTTGAGTCTGTCTATGAATGTTTCAAATCCTTTCCGGGATATATAACCGAATCTATGCATATCGATATCAATCTCAAAGTAATTTTCTCCCTACGAAGAATAAAATTTCCAAGCTCATTAGTTACCAAGCATAGTCCTAATCAAGAAGAAAAACAGCTAATGTGATTGGTGGTCTCACCAAGTAGAATTCGTGTTGTGGGCGCGAAAGAACAGGTTTCTCGTTATAAGCCTGCATCAGTTTTTTCTCTGGACCACTCAATTGGAGATCATCTACGTTTGCAACACGGCCCAATATCTTAAGCCGTTCTCTAAAAGGCGCGGTCGTATCCATAGGGAAGCCTTTAACTTTCTCAACCTCATCGTCAATTAATCTCTGTGCCAACAAAACAAATGGATTCAATACAAAAAGCATTACAGTGCGAACAACACCATAAAGATGAAACTAATTGACTCGAGCTTTGTTTACCCGAATGCTTTCTTGAAAATGGAGCGGAAGTTCCGTTGAATAATTATCCGAAAGTTTAAAGTATAAAATAATATTCATTCCTTCTCCATCAGATTCAGCTTGAAAGATTGCAGTTGGATACAATGGAATCTGTTGCAACCGTAAACCAAGAAAAACCATCACGGAAAATTCCAGAAAATAGGCAAAAACTAACAACTGGACTAGAGCATACCTGGACATTTACAACAAGGATAGATGGGAGTTTTGCGGATGTGGTAGTAACGGGAAGTTTGACATATTGTGCAACATGGTTTATTTTATGTTCCGATAAGAAAACATCGACACCAAAAGGGTTATACGCAGCATGGCTAGGTGCAAACTCTTTCTTCTTCTCCCTAACCAAAAACAAAATATAGCTTCTTGTTAAGATGGTTAATTAGTAATCATAAGTAAGAATCAGTGTGGTCTCTCCAATGGCTTACCTGAAATATGTTTTACCACGAACCCGAAAGCTATTGGGATCGATAATTGACCAACAATCGAGCATTTTCTTTTCAATTTGACAGAAAGGAACCTGAGAACCCGCTATCGGTCTCTTCAAGTGCATTTTAGAATAAACTGAAACAGTTTTCAAGACAACAAGTTAGCTTTTGCTTTTGAGATCAACCCGGTAATCCAATGAAACAAAAGCGAGATATACTCACACAAGGCTCCTGAAGCATGACCTTCTCTCCATTTATACGATAATTTAAGAGACGCTTTTCTCCTTGTACTGGGAGGGCTAGAGCTAAGAGACCTTCTCTTTTCAACAGAAGGAACAACAGTTGTTGGATTCAGACAAGGCAAACAATTACTCGGCAAAATCCTGCAGTTATCCAAGAGTCCTTCATCTGCAGATGAATCTATCAAATCAGGCTGCCTTGTGTCATTTAAGCCACCATCTGATTTTGACTGTGACATCACTTCGTTTGAGTTTGAGGAGTTGCCTATGTCAGAGTCTCGTGTTGATGATGTGGTTGTAGTACTCGAGAGTGAAACACGCTCAGCTCCGTTTAAAGACAACGCATCTAAAAATCGAAAACACAGAAAAAAAATAAAGCCATGAACTGAAGATCGATTCAAAGAGGAAACTGCATTGGACCTCCTAGCAAACCAATTTAGTATAGAACATGTTTTACCTTCATTGACACTATGGAAATCATCATCACAGTCTGTTTCAAACGCGGCATTAGACTCAAACCATGCTTCGTCGCCATTTGCTGTTGCTAAGAAAAAAACATGGAAAATCGAATCAGATGGCTAACTCGAAACTTAAGTGAAATCAATTCTCTCTAACATCATCAATCAAATTATCACATCACAAGTTTCATCAGTACCAAAGATAAAATGTCAAGAGATAAAAGAGAGAAAAGCTTCACACTTTGATTAATAAACAGTGAACTTGTTAAAACAACTGTTATCGGAACTCTAAAAGCAGAATCTAAATCCGAAAGATTCAGACACTAAATTGCAGGGACAATGAATGAACCATTAGAGAAAGAAACCAAACAATCAAATCGACCATTGCAGCAACAAAAAAAAGGTAAAACCTTTGAGATATATGGAAACGAATCTACCATTAAAAACGGATCAAATCCGAGCAACTAACAGGGGAGACAAAAAGGAAACCCAGAAACCCATAAGGGGAAAAGAGAGACCTCGGGAACTGGGATTGGAGAAGTTACGAGGTTGATCGAGATTGTCGAAAGATCCGTCAGAGAAACGAGAAGAAACAGCTCTCTTCCTTTGAATCTTTCGTCTCCTACGACTCTTCCTTCGCTGTTTACTTGACCTAAGCTTCGCTCCTACACAGCTCTTAGGCGTCGACACGCAAGCTCCCATATCTCTCTCTCTATCTAAATCAGCTACAATCTTACATATACGATCACCAGAGAGAAACACAAAAACAAAACCCAGAAAAAATATTCAGAGAGAGCTACGTT